GCGATCACATAAGAACTCAGAAATTGGGAAAAAGGCAAGGAGCTTGGTTGATACGTGGAAGAAACGTGTTGAGGCAGAAATGGATGCAAAGTCTGGATCCAATCAGGGTGCATCTTGGCCTGGAAGACCTCGTCAGTCTGAAGTTTCTCATGGGGGTAGACATTCTGGTGTATCTGCTGATGCAACAAAGGCATCAACATCACATCTACATCCTTCTAAGTCCGTGTCCGTCAAAATACCGTCAGAAAACAGCATGAAGTCTGCAACTACATCTCCAAGTTCTACTAGATCAGCCCCATCACCTGGAACAGGTGTTTCGGTTGCTAATGATGGGCAGCAAAGAAATACTGGTGCACTTCATAGAGAAGCTGGGCTGAGCAGGAGCTTTTCATCGCATAGATCTGCAACTTCGGAGAAAGTTTCTCAATCAACTCTGGCATCTGAAAAGACTTGTGACGTACCGATGGCTGAAGGTTTCAGTAACAAGTTGATCGTTAAACTGCCGAAACGTGGTCGCAGTCCGGCACAGAGTGTTAGTGGAGGTTCCTTTGAGGACCCTGCAGTGGGTAATAGCAGAGCTCCATCACCTGTCCCTTCCGAGAAGCATGATCAATTTGACCGAAACGTGAAAGAAATGAATGATACATATCGAGCTAACTTTAGCCCTGATACTAATACTGAATCTTCGCAAAACAATGACCTTAAAAATCTATCGACAGTTTCAGATGAGGTAGCTGGTTCCCCTTCTGTTAATGCTGGTGGTGAGCATGGCAAGGCTGTTAATGATTCTAGTAAAGTAGTAGGGAATGCCAAACCCACTTCTCCTACTCTAGGAGATGACGTCCAAACTGAAAAAAGGCATTGTGGATCACACAGCTCTATGAATGCCTTGATTGAAAGTTGTGTCAGGGACTCGGAGACAAATGCGTGTATGGCTGGTGCGGATGATGTTGGAATGAATCTTCTAGCTACTGTAGCTGCTGATGAAATGTCTAAATCCCCTGTTGCATCACCCTCTGTATCCAGGGTTTCAGATTCCTTGATGAATGATAGCTCCATAGCACCACGAATCACAAATTCTTTGGATGGCTTACCTCGCGAACAAGCTGAACCTATTGCCAAGAATCCCATGGTTGATATTGAGCAACATGTCAATAGTAGTGGTGAGCAGTTGGCGGCTTTGGAGAATGTGAATGATTCTAAGCCGGGAGATCTTGATGAGAACTCCGACTCAGAAATCGAAGAATTGCAAAGGTTGGTGGATCAGTGCTTAGAGAGCAATGAAAATTCAGATGATGTTGTTGCTGCAAGTACTGTGGCCACAACAGGCATTGGAGAAAACGTGTCTGATGATAGTGATAGTGGGGTAGTTAGTGTCCTAAAGACTGATATTGCATCAGAGACAGAACGAGTGGCAGATACAACGAAGAAGACAGGAAACTCTTTCTTAAGTGAATGTAAAGCCATTGGCAGATGTCAGAATGCATATTCTTTGGTTGCTGAACATTCACACCCGGACGTTGTTGGTGATAGTTCGAAAGAAGAGAAACCGAAGGTGATAGTGAGTTCTGAGCTTGTTAAGGAAATGGGTGAACACGTGTCAGTTTTGTCAGACTTTACCAAGAATATGAGTACTGCAAATGTTGATAGACCGATGACTGAAAAAGTGTCTGACATTGATTGTGGGACAGTTAACGATCAAAAGATGGATGCTACATCAGTGACAGATCGCATTTCAGATACAGCTGAAAGGGTGGAAACTTCTGTGCCAGCTGAATGTAAATTCATCGAGCTAAGTCCTAAAGTAGATTGTCTGGCTGTTGCCAATTCTCCCTCTGATCTCGTAGGTGAGAACGAGAAGGAGCAGAAACCCCGGGTAGTCTTGAGTTCTGATATACCAGTTTCTTCTGGGTTCTCCAAGGGCATGGCTGCGTATGTTGATAGATTGGTAACAGAAAAGATCAATGACATGGGGGTTACTCATATCAACCAAATAGAAAAAAAGAAGAACAAGCGTGTGACAGCTCATCTGGACTCATCTGGAAGTAACGGTGAAGTTGAGCATGTAGAGGCATCTCAAAAGAGTATTGAAGTTGATAAATGGTGCACCGCGGCCTTAGATACTCAAGTAGTATTACCTAAAGTTTCAGAAGATTTTAGGAGACCAAATGGGTCTAGGGTAAGGGGTGCTAATGGAGATGAAGCAGAGGAATGTACATCTGTTGCCAGCGATGTCCCTTCAGTTTCAGCTTCAGCAAGGTCAGAGATGGAGGGAAGAGTTGAATTTGACCTGAATGAAGGTTTTAATGGGGATGATACACGAAACGGAAGTTCCAATAATTTCTCTGGATCTTTGTCCATGACACCTATTCCTTTACAACCCACTCGACTTCCTGCATCCATTACTGTTGCTGCTGCTGCAAAGGGTGCGTTTGTTCCACGTGACGATTTGTTGAGAAACAAAGCAACTGTTGGCTGGAGAGGATCTGCCGCCACTAGCGCCTTCCGGCCAGCTGAGCCAAGAAAAATGCAGGAGGTGGTGCCACTAGGCATGAATAATGTGTCTTCGTCGGATGCTTCTACAACCGCTGGCAAGCAAACGAAGACGTTTTTGGACTTTGACCTAAATGTACCCGATGAGAGAGTTCTTGAAGATCTAGCTTCCCAAAGATCAGCCAATCCCACAAATTCCTCTGGTGGCCTGGATCTTGATCTAAACAAACTTGATGATCCGACTGATATGAATAATTACACAATAAGCAGCGGTCATCGGGTAGACTCATCTTTTCAACAAGCAAACTTTTCTGGTGGTCGTAGAGATTTTGATTTAAACGATGGACCCGCTGTTGATGATTCGAGTGTTGAGTCATCTATGGTTTTTACTCAACATTCGCGAAGTGGCTTGACATCACAGCCAATGATCTCTGGAATAAGAATGAATGGTGAACACATGGCAGCTGGCTTCTCATCTTGGTTTCCTGCTGCTAACAATTATTCAGCAATGAGTATTCCTCAAGTCTTGCCTGATCGAGGCGATCACCCTTTTCCAGTTATTACAAGCAATGGACCACAGAGGATGGTGGGTCCAACATCCGGAGTTTCATCATTTACACCTGATATGTACAGAGGCCCAGTTTTGCTATCTTCTCCGGCAGTTTCATTCCCGCCCACAGCATTTCAGTATCCCGCGTTTCCTTTTGGAACCAGTTTTCCTCTTGCCTCAGCAAATTTTCCAGGCTCTTCGACTCCATACATGGACTCTTCATCAAGTGGCAGGCTTTGTTTCCCCCCTGTCAACTCTCAAATATTGGGTCCAGGAGTTGCCATCCCGTCTAATTATCCAAGGCCTTATGTTGTAAACCTCCCAAACGGTAGCAATGGAGGAGTTTCGGACAACAACAGTGCAAAATGGTTTAGATCAGGTCTTGACTTAAATTCCGGACCAGGAGGGCATGAAACTGATGGGAGAGATGAAGCAGCACTTGTACAAAGACAATTATCTTCCTCAGGTTCCTTACCTTTGAAAGATGATCAGGCAAGAATGTATCAGATGTCAGGTGGTTCTCTCAAGAGGAAGGAACCAGATGGTGGATGGGATGGATATAAGCAATCCTCATGGCAATAACAAACCTCAGAATCTCTTTGTAGGCTGCCGCTCTAAGCATGTAAGCATCTTGAAACATATTCTACTCTCTTCTTCTACGTTTTTATTATCTCCTGTTTCTCTCTAGCTCTTGTTCTGACTTTTTGTTTGGACTTCTTCTTTGTTCCGCTAGTTACTTTGGAGATACTAGCAGATGCGATGCCACAAAGGGTTTGTTCATCGGGATGTAGAAGACTACGATGGACCGTTTTGTTCATAATATCTTGAGCAACCAGCATCTTAGAAAAAATCTGACCCCTTCGTTTTACCAGCATCATGTAGATACCTCCAACAGTATGGGATTTTCACTGGCATGGCTTGAAAACTCTCAGTGAAACCAAGACCATCATTATCACTTTGTTTATTTGCTCTCTATCTCCCATAGAAAGAGATAAGAGAGTTTTGACAGGTGAACTTTTAAAAAGAACAACACACTCGTTGTGTCACTCTTTGGCTCGTCTTCTCTAACATCTATGTATTCAGACCAAAAGGCAGGAAGATAAAAGAGAGTTTAGCTTTATGTTTTTTTTTAGTTCTGCTGTAAAAAAAAATATGTTGATGGTCTTAATGCATTATTGGTATTAGGTTGAGAGAAAATCTGCCATGGATTGTATTTTATAGTCAGCATCTATGAATCACCTCACCCTTTTGTAGATCATTATTCTTCTTCTTTGTTTTGATGATACAAGAAGAAATAGATAAATTAAATTTGCTAGACTCGGTTCCTAGATGCATACAAGATTACAATCCAGTCGACTTCCTACATCCATTACACCTATTCCTTTATAACCCAGTCGACTTTTCCTGCATTCATTACTGCTGCTGTTACTGCAAAAGGTGTGTTTGTTCCACGTGACGATTTGTTGAGAAACAAAGCAACTGTTTGCTGGAGAGGATCTGCTGCCACTAGCGCCTTACGGCCAGGTTAGCCAAAAAAAATGCAGGCGGTGGTGCCTCTAGGCATGAGTAATGTGTCTTCGGCTGATGCTTCTATAACCGTTGGCAAGCAAACGAAAAAGTTCTTGGACTCTGACCTACCTTAATGTACCCTATGAGAGAGTTCTTAAAGATCTGGTAGATTCATCTATGGCTTTTACTCAACATTCCCGAAGTGGCTTCTCATCACAGCCAATGATCTCAGGAATAAGAATGAATGGTGAAAACAATTATTCAGCACTGAGTAATTGTGATGGTCTTAACGAATTGTTTGCTAGTATGAGGCTGAGAGAATAAATCTGCCATGTGTTTGTATTATATATTCAGCATCTTTTAATCACTCATTTGTAGATTGCTATTTTCTACTTGTGGCTACCTATGATTGATCAACTGATCCATAGTTTCTCTATTTTATTCTCTGTTGCATCAAAATGGCTAAATATATTGCAATAACAGTTTTGAAACAAATAAACATAATTGAATTAATAATAAGCTCTCTACCTCCCTCTCTCACTCTCTTTCTCTCTTCAAGGTAACTATTGATTGATTAGAGGCTAATAATCTCTTACATGATTCAATCTATATAATATAAGTCTCTCATTTATCACACAAAATCTCAAAAGTGGAGATTAAAATCATCAGACTGAGTTGGGCCATCATCATCATCAATGCCGAGTCACTATCCTCCCACACAGAACATTTCTGCACATAGAAAAAACAAAGGTGAAATCAGTACCCTTCATAAGATGCTAGATGCAGAGTTTGTAAAGATTTGCATATATACTCACGACAAACAGCCGTGATTTGACTTTTGCTTCTTCTTCTTCTTCGTCTTCTCCTTTTGTTTAACCAGCGGTTTGATCACTTCCTTTATTGCGGAATCAAAAACTGCTTTCACATTCTGCAAAATATATAAACGTCATCGCTTTGTTAATCCGAAGAAAGAGTAACATAAAGAAGCTGACTAATATACCTGTTGAGTTTTTGAGCTACACTCAATGTAATACGTCGCGCCAATTAGCTTACGCAATTCCTCTCCCTATCACATAGAAAGGTTTATTTAATACCATCAAGCCTTATAATGGAATAATATGAAATCTAAAGTAAGAAAAGAAAGGCTCTAGAACCAAACCTGTGCAGTAGTTACAGGGGATAGTCCAGGATGGTCAGCCAAATAATGCTTATCTTCACGAAGATCTACACCAATTTTGTAAGGATCATTAACTATGTAATGTATCTAAACGGTTAAGAGGAATCTGTTGGTAAATGATCATCGGTTTCTTACCTAATTTGGTACCGACAAGGACTAGGGGAACTCCTGGAGCAAAGTGTTGGAGTTCAGGGATCCACTGACTCAAAAAGAACAGTCATATAACATTAGCGATGACATTTTAGAGTCTTATCGTTTTCAACATTAGAGAAAAGGATGATGAATCCATTTATTTCTAACAAACCTTTTTAAAAACATTCTCGTAGCTAGCTCGGCTGACTAATGAGAAAGACAAGACGAAAACATCTGCTCCTCTGTAACTTAAAGGCCTTAATCTGTTATAGTCTTCTTGCCCTGCAAACAAAGGATATATGTAACCTCATAAGACAAAGCTAAAACATAAAATGGATATCATCTATCAACCAACAATCTTAATTAAATCAACCAAATCAAAGAACTCGACCAATAAGAATGTTCTAAACCACTGTAGGATTCAAGACTCAGTTCTGAGTGTTCATACCAGCAGTGTCCCAAAGCCCTAAATTGACAGTGGTGCCTTCAACAACAACATTTGCACTAAAGTTGTCAAAAACTGTTGGTATGTAGTCCTGTTACAAACAATTCATCAAATCAATCCACAGTTTCAATAGATCAAATCAAAGCATTTATACGTATTATAAAAATAATAATATCATGAAGAAAAGTCTGACGAATCCAGAGGATGTTAGGATTGAAGATAACATAAAGCTGGACTATACACAAAAGCTGCAAAAACCCAGATGCGCACACACATACTTCAAAAAGGTAAGTAAAAATTTTAAAATTCTCTAAAAATGGATCTTGTTTCATGCACAATCCCTAGGAAAAAGGAGCTAACTTTGAAATACCCAGGTAGATTCTAAGAACCTTTATGGCAAGAAGAAACTGAAATTTAGTAGACCCAGATAGTGAAATTGATTAAAATTTTGTAAATTTGAGCTAAATCTGAGAAACCCAGATGAGAGTCTTGATCAAAATTTCAGAGATAAAGAGAGGTTTTTTTTTAAGAAAACTCACAGTAGGGAATTTATTGCTGGTGTAGCAGATGAGCATACAGGTTTTACCAACGGCACCATCACCAACAGTCACACATTTGATGAACTTTGAAGCACTTGATGCCATTTTGATCTCAAACAAACATAGAAAGCAAAAAAACAAGAAAGAAGCAGAAGGGAGAAGAAGAAGAAATAGAGAGAGATAAATGAAGTGAGATTACTTGAAAAGAGGAGTAAAAAATAAATAAAACCCACTTTAGTACATAGAAGAAGGTAGGGTTTGTTGCACACATTTATGGCTTTTTCCAAATTTTTGTTTTTTTACACTTTTTTTTTTCTGTTTGCTTTTTTCAATATAAAAAAAAAGATATTAATTATTTTTTGTTTATTGGTATTTGGTGGCTTGTTTTTGGTTTGAACTTGAAGATAGAGAAGGAGCGGTGATGACTCACATGATCCATCTTCTTTGCTTTCCTTTTCCAAATTCTTATAGTTCATTTATTACTCTAACGAGCAAAATTTGCATTGGAATTTGTTAACCAAATCTTGGTGGTTCAATCTTGTTTTTCTCTTTTTTTAAAAAAAAAAATTGTGTTTTTTACAACTTTTATTGGATTGTAAGATATTGAAGTAATGTATACTATTATAGTACGGCTTTACGAATCAAATTATGACGAAAGTTACCTATTCGGCAAGTTGATAATAGTGTCACGTTGAGCCACACAGTGACAAGTGAAGATGGCTATACCATTTTTGTATACATTAACATGTACTGTCGAATACATGTTTTGCTATTTTTGTTTTTCTCTCGATCCAGTTTACATATCAAATAATGTATAGCATAACTTACAAGCTAGGGTTACATAATAAATAAAATAATAGTATACCATAGCAACGAAATCAGAACAACAAAAATTTATAGAAAAATCACTGAAACCAACCTTTCAACAAAACTTATATCACCCTATTTCATGATTAATAAATGTAAGGTCGTTTTTAATTAAAATAGAAACTACAAAGTGTAAAACTGATGATTCTAAAATTGAAAGTTTATTTTAGATTATTCATTTACTATACTTGGATAAAATGGTTTTTTTTTATGTGGACCTCTATACATTTAAAAAAAAAACTGATCTAATTTACTCAATAATGTAAAATTGGCCAACAAGAGTTTCGTTGGCAACAACCAGCAATAAAAATTCTCAAGATTCACAAAGGATCATAGAAACTTTTAATACAGTTATTAAAAATTGAATACTCTTACCAAATAGTTCCTTTTTGTTTGTTTATGGATCTAATTGTAGAACTCCTGGTTTAGAAAGTAAAAGTGTTTTTGACATGTGTTTAAATAATGATTTATAGGTGGATGTTGGAGCCAAACTTTGTGTGAACATCTACCAAAAGCAGTAGATAAATGATTAATTAAAAAAAAAGTATACTGTAAGTTAATTATTGGAGTAATACCTACGACTATATCGACGGCGACGCAACCACCATAAATATGAAAATACAAAAGTGTTGTTAATTAGAGAGGTCTTCACAAGGAGGACCACGGGGGCTTATTGCTCTCTGGTCCAAAGGTGTATTATTATAGTAGTATTTGCAAGTTATTCCCAGCAAAACCTCCAAAATATATGTATAAAAGTCGATGATTAATAATACAATAAAATGACAAAAGTATGGCCTAAACCAAATAAATATACTAGTAAAAAAGAAAATCGCAAAATGAGAGACTAGTTATCATTTAACTAAATGATTATGTGTATATGTATAAGTGAATCCATAACTTTTGCCTTTTGGTCTCTAAGAAAGATTAGTAGACATGTAACAGGAGCATATGTCGTGCTGGTGTAAGGATAACGTCATTGAAAAGAAACAAGAACAAACGATATATATGTTCCACAAAAGTAATGAAGAAAGTGAGTAAAACTAATAAGAATAACCCAAAAGAAAACACTTGATGCGGGTTAATAAGCAAAACATGATTACGAGTGGAATCCCATAGATTGAAAAAGACTTGAAGATCACAAATCCGAGTTTTGGCAGTAAGAAATATGGTAAATTGGATTTGAGTTGGCTTAACATTGAAGTAAAAAGTTATTTAGAATATCATAAACTCAACAAACAAACAAATGCAACGGGCCCGACAACTCAATATATGGGCCGCGTCCGAAACGAGCCGACCCGCGTAATGAAAGTCCCTTGCCAGGTCACGTGTTTCCCCTCTTGTTCCTATCGGTCCCTTTTATTGTGTTCTTTAATTTGCTAATTCTTATACGAAACATTCTTATGATTTTTTTTTATTTTTTTTGGGTGTTCCTACCACAATTTTGGATTCTCAAAGATGTTAAGAGATCTCGTGATCCAGTGATTGCTATCATGGCATTTTCGTGTCTAACACAATCCAATATCAGGGAGATATTAAGTAGATGAAGAGAGACCAAGCCCGGCTCATAGAAAAGTGGGACCTTGTGCCCAGTAAAAAAAAACGTTTATAGCATAGATATGTTTAGATTTGGACCCTTTTTTATATAATTTAAAAAAAAAACAGACCCTAATTGCTTAAAGAAAACTGCCTAAAAAATAGTGGACCCTGTACAAATGCACCGTGGGCACACCCTCTAAACCGGCCCTGAGAGAGACATACATGTTACTAGTATTGAAATGATTCTATACATACCCAACGTTGTTTTAGGGGCAAACGATCCCCAAGGACTTTCTTTCTAATGTCAAAAATTTGAAGGTCAATTGAATCCTATGAATGATTTTCTATATAGAGCATGTAAATTGAGAGAACAAAAATGTATTTGAAAGTTTCCACTAGAAAGGTTTCAAGTTTGAATTTGGAAAAGTGTTGTTGATTCATGCATGACATACTAACCCCCCAACTATTGATAGTTTTGTCCTCTTATAGTCGGCTTTAGTGAAATTAACGGTAACTATATTTTTGGAAACCAGAAAAGTTTTTAGTGGTATTAAAAAATGGGTATAGAATTTTAAAATAAAGAAATCATGTCAAGCAACCATGATTAACTTAATCATTACTTCCACATGCTAAACAGCTAATTTACATAAATTATATTAGCCACAACAAGTTTAATATCCCCAAAAGAGAAACAAAATATTGCTTCTCTTTCAAGAAACAGAAAATTTCGTTGATAAATAAATAAATTAAACTGGGAAAAAAATAAAAATAATCCAAAGTTGATCGTATTAATTATATAAACAGAGTAATTAAACAAAAAAAAATAAAATAAGGAAACGCAATAACCGCGACAGACCCCCAAAAAAGATGTAAACCAACCAGTCAACCATTTTGACAGCCTTTTCGCCGCCGCCGCCAGAAACGCAAACGCGTTTCTCACACGCGCCCACTAACTTTCAATTATCTCATTACGCGGCGTCAACGCAGACAAAGACGTCGGCGAAATCGCCGGAGCTTTACCTGAGTACACCGGAACAGAAGCGAATCGAGTGGAGAAGCTTCGCAATCCACCTAATCCGACGTATTCATCCTCGTCGTCGTCATCGAAATTCAAAGAGTAACTTAAAGGATCGTATTGAAACTTCTCGCTTGCGTCCCAATCGCGGCCGCGTCGTGGATCGCGATTGAATCGCCGAATGAAAGTCTTCCACCGTGGACCAGCTACGATTTCCGACCACTCTCGGATCTTCAAGGATGCTCGGATCCACCACCGTGGCTCGTCGCCGTGGTCACCGCTGTGATTACTGTCATCAACGGTTCGAATTCGTCCCCATCCAACGGCGGTGGAGCTTCTTGATCGGAAGCTGGGGAAACAGCAGCAACGTTGATCGTACCGGGTATCCGGATCTCGGGTTGGGTCCGACTGCGCAAGTTCCATGGGCCGAAACTACTCAGAGACGGTTTTTTCTATTTGGGTCAATAGACTCGTGATGATAGAACTTGATGCAAGTTTTAGCTGTAAAGGAATATAATTGGCCCTATTTATATACACACTTGACACTTGTAATATAAATTAATAAATTGTTATTTTTTATGATGTTATAAATTATATAGATTTTTGTTAATTTGTTGAATAAATGAAACTTTTATCTAATGTTATTGAGATATTTGTTTGTACTTATAAAAAGTCAACTTCTCTTTCATTAAAAAAAAAGAGAGAGATATAACAAGCGTGATACAGATCTCATTGAATTATGTTTATCAATAATGTTGAATTATTGTACCATAACATCTTTTGATAGTATTAAGGATATATATGTTACAAACTGAAAAAACTCAGCACCAGAATAATTCTGAAAATATGGCAATATATGTTTGTATGAATGAGTTTCAAATTTTATAATGAAAAACATTCCTACTTTTTTTTTTTTTTTTTTCTCCTGAAAAACATTCCTACTAAGAAATCAGAATTGACACAACTAGCGTTAAGAAAAAGACATGGCACCATAAACCTCAATTATTGGATTTCATATATACATAGACATAATTATTGGAAAATTTCTAACAAGTATTTTTGAATTTTGTTGTTATTTTCTATTTGGGACGAACAGTGATGCAAATACGAATATTCATAAAATACGAGAATAAATAATGGAATCTTGGGTAAGCACGGTACTCAGTAAAATAGCTAACTAATATGAGTTCAACCAAAAAAAAAAAAAAAGCTAACGAATATGTAAAAAAAAACAGCTATCGATGATGGGCCAAATTGATGAAAGCCTAAACGTTGAGAAAGTGTAAAAAGCCCAAACGTTGTGTCTTTAAACCCATAGAAAAGGATGCCGGCTTGCCTAAGTACACACAATCAAATATTAATAGCGCGTTGAGATTAAGAAAAAAAAAACTTGCAAAGGCTAAGTTATTATGACTACGTACACGAAAAGAGACTCTAGCCAATTGACTGCAAAAGTTGAGTGAGAGTGAGAAAAAAGAGAGATTTAGGCCATTCATTGCAAATGTCATTATGTACCAGTTGTGTTCGAAATGATATTAGGACTTAGGAGAGTCAAATAATCTTAGAGTGGATCTTATGAAACTTATACCAATGTGTTTCGGTTGTCCATTCCATCATAAATAACTAGAGGCGAGACTTGATTTAGCAGTTTCGATGATCGGTTAATTTTCAAGATCGGTTGCAAAGATTGATAAAAGCTTTTCAGCTATCAAACGAAGCATTCGAGAAATACATTTCCCTAATCCTCCTCCTACTGATCACAACTGGTTCGAAGAGTGTCGTCGAAGACTCATCCAAAAAGGTGTAGAGTTACTAACCATAATAGTTACCGCGCTTACCAAACTTTTTAGTAAGTTGTATAAAAACATGCGTCACCTTCCAAAGATTAAATCAATAATTTGTGTGAAAAGAACAAAAACGGTTAGGTTATTGACATTGTTATATATACTTCTAGAACCTCTGGTATTCGGAGATCTACCTATTCACAGAAAAGCTAAAAAAAAAAATACATGATAATTCTGTACGAAAAAATATAAAAATTTTTATCGGATTTTTATATAACCAATATCAACTCGAATAAAATTCATTAGTCTTCTTTCCACCAAATTAGAAGAATATGAACAAGAGTTTGAGGATGAGCGTAAGAAATGATAATTTAACATCCTAAGAACATCCTCATTGCACATTTTTATGGGTGTCTTTAAATTTTTAAACTAATTAAAAAAATAAAAAATAATTAATGAGAGTGTCTTCCTATAGACACTTTACATCTCAAAAAGGAGAGTGTCTTTAATTTTAGTATTAATTGATATGCAAAACACTCATTTGAGGGTTATGGATGAGGATGGTCTAAAGATTCCCCTTTCTATTTATTCATATATATAGTGACTTGTTTTATTCTTGTTGTGTTTGACTCATATTATTGTCTTATGCATATGTCTAGAAGGCCTGGTGCTGCGAGACAAGGATATTACTTATTTAAAAAGAATAAGTTGTCTTCGTCACTTGGGTTACCAGGCTCGTCTCTACCCCTAGGCAAGGTAGGCAAATGCCAAGGGTCCAATATTAGTTTCAAAAAATTTCTTAAAGAAAAAAAGCCCAAAATATTTTTTTTAAAAAAATTACTAAGAAGTTTTAATTTTTTTTTGGTTTTGCTATAAGTCTCATTATATATTGAAACGGTACTTTGGGTTTAAGATGTTGTCTTCGTGATTACCAAAAAAAAAAGATGTTGTCTTCGTTTTAGTGTCTTCCTTTGTTTCTAGATTTACCTTGTTTTCAATTAACTAGTATCAATTGAGTTTATATGTGACTGTTTATTTGATCGCATAATTATGATAAAAATTTAAAGTTTTTTTTTGTCATCATTAAAATTTAAAGATTAATATTTTAATTTTTATGACAAATTTTCACTAGTGATCAATATTAATAATAATGGAAAACCCTCCTTTTTCACATGCGGGGTGCAAACGAGTCTTAGAAAAAATAAATCTTCAGCTAGAATCAGTTGTAAGCAGGGGCGGAGCCAATTAAGAGGGAGGGGGGTCAGTTGACCACCATAACATTTTAAAGTTTTGAAATTATAAGGTAAATTATCTAATGATTTTAGATATTTTGGTACAAAATTTCCTAGTTAACCCCTATGTCATGCCATAATTTTATGTCTTTGACCCCATTCATATTTAATTTTTCATTCAACATTAATTTTCTTTCTATGTTTGTTTTGTTTTTTCCTAAAAAAATGATTACAATTCTCTAATAGTTTTTTTACATATTGATTCTTTTTCTTTGTATCATCGGATATCTTGTTTTTTTTTCGTTCTTTTTCTCAAAATTGTTTTGACATATATTTCTATAAAATATCATAAATCAAGATAAAATATATTATTTAATATTAATATGTAATTAAATAAAAATAATTATATATATGACCCCTATAAACAAAAATCCTGGCTCCGCCACTGGTTGTAAGATAGTTCCTTTCATAAAAATATTTTTAGGAATACACTTCATAAAACAAAATTTGATATTTATTATAAAAACTATTATGTACTAATGTGATCGGGGTTCAACAAACTCACATTTACGGTTTTAGTTCCCCTCTCGAATATAATAAATAACTATCTTCTAAACTCTTAAATATAATAATCTTAGACCATTCTTGTTTCTCTATATGATCTTCCATATTCCACATCTCTGCACTAGCTTTGGTGTATCGTATGCATCCTAATTTCCCTTGGTAGTTTACCAAAGACAATTCATCGAAACTCACTTCACTGAGCTGATATATTCATCTGCAGAGTTATGGGCATCTGAATACGATCAAATCTTTCGTGTCTAACGTCGAACCTCACTAATTCATAGAATTCCGGATGCTTTGTAAAACCTTTCTACATAAGCTATGTAATAGATAAACTCATTGATGCATAAACCAGTACTCCTTGCTTCTGGAGAGTGATTCCAAATGCCTTGTAAGTCAAGGTTCCTCCCTTGCTGCTTCATTGGACCTCCCACTAATGTGAAAACTTGTTTCTCGACTGGATCATACCCGAACAATCCATCACACGAGTTGCTCCATCTATCGTATTTTACCTCCGGTAATAAAATCGTTTCCCTCTTGGTATGTTCATAGATCGAGCTTGACCAACCACAGAAGAGTCCTCGAATATATTGATACTCAAAATCCCAACTTCGCCCACGGTTTAATGTATAACTGCTGTCTTTGTCTGGATATATGAATGTTATATCATTAGTAGGATAAGTAGAGGGCGAGAATAATGACCGAGTCATGATCGAGACGGTAATACGAGATGACCACAGCTTCGATACACATTGGAACCTCACAAGTGACTTAACAGGGAGTCTCGAGAGTATATCGGTTATTAAATCGAAAGGGATATGGATACCGTTTGACTTTTCTATGTCGGAGATTTTGCTGTAATGTTGTCGTTTTGGAGATCGTGAGCTCTTCTTCTCTTGGCGTCCTCTCTTCATGCTGTCAGTTTTCTATTTTATGAATCTTGAACGAAGAAAAACACATACTAAACCTAGTACTAGCAATACAAATAACATTTTTTTTACTTTTTTTTTTGGGGTTTATGACATTTGTTTTCTGGATATTTTCTATATATTGGCAATACAAAAGAGTTTATAAGCTAAGCAGCCCAATTTCATGGCCCATTAGGTTTTAGACATTAAAATCTCAAGTCTTAACCCACATTAAAGGAAAATCATTAACGAAACAATGAGAGATCAATTTGGTATTTTCCGGTAGGCAAGCTTCGAGTCAGCAAATCCGGTAGGCGCGCAAGCCTTGGATCGATGCGCCTCACATTGAAACTTGAGGCTTGTGTGTTCTGTTTCTCTTCATCTTGATTCAATTCGTTTGCAGTTTCGTAGCTTGATGAGAAAGGAATATTAATTGATGATCTCACCACCACTCGTAACACCCGAGATTCGCCATATTCTCCAAACCCCTCTCCATCTCGTAAGAGAAATTTAATAACTAGCTACTTCTATAACGATTAATTATTTATAAAAGTTAATTTGTAGTATACTGATTTGTATTAGTGTGGCCGTTGTCTTATAATCAAACAAGAACAAAAAAGAACTTATGAAGTTGAACCTGGTTTCATTCGAATTAATGTTTCACAAAGTTATAAGTTTGATGAAATAATAAAGATGTAGTAATAGTAAATGTATTTATGTTTGAGAGAGAGAGAGAGAGAGGTATTATGTGAGTGAAGAGCCGGGTGTTTCTCATGCATGGGGTACGAGCGGAGTCAACGGCTTCATGGCTCAAATTTTAAACCACGTGTCATGCGTTTGTTACTCTACCCAGTTTCTGCTGATTCACAGACTCACTATTAAAATCCATTTTTTTTCTTTTTTCTGTTCATAAAACAGAAACCAAAAATAATCCAAATACCAAAAAACCAAAAACAGAACCTAGAAACCACACCAAAAAAAAGAAGCTATTTCATCAAACAAACAAAACTCACATCACAAATCAAAAACAAAAAAGAAAGGCAGTACTAAAGAAAAAGTATATAAACAAGAATCATCGAAAAGAAGAATCGAAATCATCATAACATTTTGTTTCTCTTCTTCTTTTATTTTTATAAATATATATTAGTTCTTTGAGAAAAAAATCTGTAGAAGACAAAGAATTCTTCTTTAAAACAAAGAAAAATGACGGACCCCCACACTGCCCGGACGATCGTCGGAATCATCGGTAAGTCCTCCTCAAAATTTAATCAAACATGCAAAAAGTTTAATCCAATCAACAACACAAAAACTTGCTCATTTCTTGATTTTTTTTCTGTTATATGTTTAGGAAACGTGATTTCTTTCGGCTTGTTCTGCGCTCCAATGTAAGCACACATGATGATTAAATCTTTGAGTTGTTACATGAATAATGATGTTAAACTAATGCATGCAATGACATATATCTCTATATGTGAAATTATGCAGACCAACGATTATGAAGATATGGAAGATGAAATCGGTGTCGGAGTTTAAGCCAGATCCATACGTCGCTACAGTTTTAAACTGCATGATGTGGACATTTTACGGACTTCCTTTCGTCCAGCCCGACAGTCTCCTCGTCATCACCATTAATGGAACTGGTCTTTTCATGGAACTCGTTTACGTCACCATCTTCTTTGTCTTCGCTACCTCCCCTGTCCGCGTAAGCCTTTAAACCTCTAATTTCAACACGCATGATAAAAATATGTATTTGCATAATAAATTATTCAATTTGTATAGTTTTTATAGGTTTTATATATAATTAGTGATTTAGCGGTTGATGTTTGTTTTAGTTTGTTACTTCAAATGTAGATCGATATATAGTTTTTGATATGTGAAGTTATGATATATATGAACAGAGAAAGATCACAATAGCTATGGTAATCGAGGTGATATTCATGGCGGTGGTGATCTTCTGCACAATGTATTTTTTGCATACAACAAAGCAGAGATCTATGCTTATTGGGATCTTGTGCATTGTTTTCAACGTCATCATGTATGCTGCTCCTCTCACCGTCATGGTATGATGTTTCTACTTTCTAAACTAATCACGGAAATGCAAAAAATTGGATACTACTATGATCAACTTTTGATTTGTTCTCTTTATCTCGTGAACTTGCATTAATGAGTTTAGTTAATGTGGAACAGAAACTTGTGATAAAGACAAAGAGCGTGAAATACATGCCGTTCTTCCTGTCATTAGCCAACTTCATGAACGGTGTCGTTTGGGTCATTTATGCATGTCTTAAATTCGACCCCTATATTTTGGTAAAGTTTCGTTTTAACCCTCATATTTTTAACTCAATCCATATAATCTCAAAAAGGGCTAATTATCTTCCATGCATGAAAACAGATTCCAAATGGTCTTGGATCGCTATCAGGAATAATCCAGCTTATATTATACATAACTTACTATAAAACAACTAATTGGAACGATGAAGATGAAGATAACGAAAAGCGCTATTCGAATGCTGGAATCGAACTTGGCCAGGCTTGATAATTGCAGCTAGCTTCATCGTCGACGGTGCTTCATCGATAGGTTAAGATAGAATCAGAAGTGAGGTGAAGTTCTTATTACTATTATTATGTGGAAGCTTATGAAGAAAAAAAATGAAAAAGTGGAACCCCAAAGTTACGAAGTTTTCTTGTGTAGGAAGAAAGGGGTTTTCACTTTTTTGTTGGAATGATTATAACTTTCGCAAGTTGAATCTATGTAATTTGTTACAATTTTAGTTTTAATCGAAGTTTATTAGATTACTTTATAACAATTTTTTTTGGGAAACTGCAAGCAAAGAAACAAATTTGTCCTCATGTTATGAACAGAGTAATAAACAGAGGAGGTTCCTTGTTTTAGGTTTGTGTTTTTGGTCCTGACCCGGTTAAGAACATCAACCTGATTTCAAATAATAAGAGGGATAAAATTGTCATTTGCTAACCGGTTTACCCGATTCGATTATAGAAACGAACCAATGAGCTAAACCGGAATGTGCGATTCACAATTGTGGTTTTGTATCCTTAAAACACGGAGGACCGGAGATACCGTTTGAGATGACGATTGAATTATGTTATCATCATCGCCGGCGGTCACCACCACCGCACATCCTCCTCAATCACCGGAAACCTACCAAATTCCTCTGAATTTACTTTCCTCGCCGCGTATTACCCGCCGAGACCTTTTCAAGACTCTATCCGTATGTATTGCCACACCATCACTCTCAGTTTCCATCGCCGCACCAGCCAACGCACGCGGCCTCTTTCAAATGCCGCCTCTCCGGCTATCTAATCGGTAACTCACTTTTCCGAAACCCTAATTTTGAGTTTCTGAGTATACAACAATGTGCATCAATGTGTATGTTGCAATGTGTTTTTGGTTGTTGTTTATTTTGAATCAAGTTATTACCTTGTGAGAGCTGGGGAATCTGATTACGAAAGCTTAGGGATAATCAACACAAACCCGGTTGCCAAAACATCGGTAGATAGCGGATTATCAGAGAAAGGTAAGAAGCAGACGCTGAGAGCTGCGTTACAGCTAAAGGCAATGGGAGCTTGTGACCGAAACTGTTGGCTCTGGCCTTCCATAACACAGAGAGCTTATCAGGCTGCTGAAATCATCGCCGCCATCAATGGAATCAGTCGCAGGTAAAGTCTTCCATTAGTCTTCTTACTCTTTAGTGAGGTTATAACTGTGGAATCTAGTCTTTGTGATGGTACGCTGAATGTTTTATGTATACTTGGTTTTCGCAGCTATATAGTTCCGGAATATAGCTTCCTCGATGCTCGTGGTTTAGGCGCTTACGAAGGCAAGAAGCTAGAATCCATATCAGAAGTAATATTTAGCATTTTTCGCATTTAAACTTAGAAACAAAACTTTGGGTTGAAGTATGAAAGTTTCAACTTCTTTGCAGGTTTATGCATTAGACTCAATATCGATGAAGACAAAACCTCCTCCTATAAGCGACGGTACCCCCAATGAGAGTGTAGCAGATGTATTTGTGCGTGTGACGCAGCTCATGTCTATTCTCGAGACTCAATACTCAGAGGACACAATCGTGATTGTTTCACCTGATTCAGACAACTTATCGGTGTTACAAGCTGGTATTCAAGGACTCGACCTTCGCAGGCACTCAGAGTTGTATTTTGGACCAGGAGAAGTAAGATTGTTAGATGCAAACAGCATTCCTGTGTATAAGCAACCTGCTTCTGCCGTATATAAGTGTAAGAACCCACCAAACTGTGACTAAAATTATTATATTCTCAGTATCTGTTTATTGTTATTATTCAAATACAATTGTGATTAAAACATTATTTGAAGCTTAATTTTAGATTTCAGTGTAAGTATTAGTACATACAATCATAATGGTAACAGGCCGTATATTTCTAATTGCTTTCTTGATTTTTTTTTTTCAAGCAACTCATATTAAGTTGTAGTGTTTTCGTCCATGCAAATTTTGTTTCTAAAAAAAACTTCAATTAGTTCATTGATAAAAATTTGTTATTTACGAAAAACAGATATTCTGACATTTACATTACACCAAAAACAAAAAGCAGAGGAGATTAGTAGATACAGATGAATCTACTAATATCTACCTAACAATGAGCATACAATTTTCTTTTACTGATCCCTGAAGGAAGTTTCTCGTTGCTTTTATTTACTTCCCCGCAACTTCTACTTCAAGAAGAAAACCACAGGAGCTGCATCAGCTAAAAATTCGAATTACATTCTCTGTATAGCGATGAGCGTTTACTAAACTACTATTAGCTTCCCTATTTGATATTTCTTGTTTCTTTTATGGCGATGAGAGATGTTATCAAGTGGTTAGTTCTTAATGACTCGTCTCTGTCTGTGTTTGATCTTAACCAGAGGCAGAATCTCTTTTTTTTTTACTTAGGTGTATATATCTGATTTTATGGCTAAAGTTTGATTTTTTCTGCAGGTACGTTGGGATTGTCTTGTTGGCACTTGCACTTAATTTGTATCCTGAGAATTAGTTGATGGATTCTGAGAATTATATAGTTCTACTATGCCTTTTTATTGTTTTGTTTCTTTACCTTTAAATTCGAAATTCCTCGAATGATTCCACCACTTTCTTATATTGTCTATTAAAACTTCTAGATAGATACTGATTCTTCTTTTTTTGGGTATGTTGAATCACTCAAGAGGACAAAGAAAGTACTAAAGAATAGATTTTTTCTTTCATTGATTTGAGTTGCAAACTAAGACCTAGGGTTTTAGAGTATGTAAAGAATCTCATGAAATTGTGTTTCCTTGATGGTTTATTTTGCTATGTAGTCTCATTCTAGCTATCAATTGGAACAAATATCTTCTTTGCTATAAACCACTGCCTATATGGCTTGTGGTAGGTGTCTCTTGCTTATCATCCAGCACCTTCAATTTTTTCTTGTTTTCTGTTCCTTGAACTTCTGTTTTATTTGTCACGGATTTTATTGTCTCTGTTTTGTTTAGGTCGATTACACAACCGTGTTTATCTTTGGTCTTTTGATGTTTGTGGACAACTGGCTTGCTACTGGACTTGCCTTGTAGGTTTCATTTAAAGCTCCATGGTTTGCATTTTCTTGTATTTCTCTATCTTGGTTGGTGGTTTCACATTGTTTCTTGTTTACTTTGAATCATGTTAGGGATTTTGGAAGGCAGCAGCGTGATTCAAGCTGGTTCTGTAGGAGAGCGGTGGTCATGTCTATCTTAGCTTTGCTGCTGTATCCGTTCATGTGGGTTTGGACTGTAGTTGGAGCATTATTGTTTATAAATGCAAGAGACTGTGTAAGCAACTATTATATGGTTTTATGATATGGTTATTGAGCAAATCCGGTCTCTGAGTTTATTAAGTCTTTCTCATGTCCAAAGTTACTTGATGATCTTCAAAAATGGGATTTTATCACTTGGCTGGTGTCCAGCTGTTGTGTACTCGTCTGCATTGCCTGGACTTGTGTTGTAAAGGTAGATTATATCTTTACCATTTCTTTTGTTGGTTAAAAATTAAGGCTTCCTGGCTTATGCATGTGCAAATTTGAGCAGTGGTTGATGCGAAGACGTGCACAGTTATTACGTGCCCAGCAGGGAATTCCCATTTCTGAATTTGGGGTAAGTTTCCAGGATCTCATGACTTTGCTATCAATACTTTTTCTCAACTTTCTGTTTCTTATAAGCTAGATCTGACTTGGCTAGCATGATTCATTATGTCCAGATTCTAGTTGACATGGTTCGGGTACCCGACTGGGCATTTGATGCTGCAGGACAAGAGATGAGAAGTATGGGCCAAGATGCTGCTACGTATGATAGGTTGAATCCATCTCAGGCAAGTTATCAAAACTTATTATGAGATAATGAAGAATAAAATTACCTAAAGCTTTGAATCCTTTCGGTTTAACAGAGAGAAGCACTCATTCAAGAACTTCCAAAGTTCAGGTTAAAATCTGTCCCAACCGACTGCACTGAGTGTCCTATATGTTTAGAAGAGTTCTATATCGGAAACGAGGTAACTCAACTCCTTATGTTTGTTCTTGTGCTGGTCTCTGTACTCTGCATTGATGACCTGTTTTTTCTTTTGTTTGTTCAGGTTAGGGGTTTACCTTGTGCTCATAATTTCCATGTTGAATGTATAGACCAATGGCTTCGATTAAACGCAAAATGTCCACGGTGTCGTTGCTCGGTATTTCCAGATCTTGAGCTCAGTGCAGTATCCAACCTTGAAAGCTCAGATGCAGGACATCAATTCTCAAACAGCGAAACAACAACGGAATCTCGATACATGAGAAGCCAACCTCCTAGCCAAAGCTACCTTTTGCGATTACAAGGACTTCTTCGTCCTAGGTTAGAGATATTAGGAATGTGGCCTAACTTAACCCAAAAGCTAGCTCAAGAGTTAAGGATTGCCACATCCTTTATATACTACCCAAAGATCTTAATCCCAAGCAATGTGGGACCTTCTAATAGGCCTCCTCGAGATGTGGGTGGGAAACGGCCCAACGGGAACAGCCCAAGCCCAACATCTCGGAAATACAACAAAACATGCCACTTATATGGGCCACATAGGTGGAAAACTATTTTTGTGGGAATTTTGCTTGTTGGGCCAACCTGGCTCTGATACCATATTAGGAATGTGGCCTAACTTAACCCAAAAGCTAGCTCAAGAGTTAAGGATTGCCACATCCTTTATATACTACCCAAAGATCTTAATCCCAAACAATGTGGGACCTTCTAATAAGAGACCTCTGGTACTACTCTGGAGACTGCAGAGAACGGTGGGATTCGTCCGTATCTCTCACCGGAGCTAAACCCCCCCAAATTAGGCGGTGGGAGAAATGAGTAAAGAAAGCGAGCCTGTGGAAACTTAACTCCTAAGACCATCTTTATCAATGGGTTCTTAAGAAAATCTTAAGATGATCTTAGTAATTTTTTAGTATTATTACTAAGAACCAAAGTTAAGATTTACCTCTTTAAAATATATAGAAAACACTGTATATGAATTTGGTTAAAGTAAATAAAACGATCTTCGTTTTTACATTTTTGCAAGTAACAAGACAACTTATCTTATAGATAGTAGATAGATAATTTCAGGAGTAATAATTATAAAGACAGCATATATAATAATTTCGTAATATATGACTACATATGTTAAATTCTAAAATATTAATATATTTTAAAGTTATAATAACTATAAATCGCATATATAATATCTTTTTTTAAGTACTAAAAATTATTTTGAAATTCAAAGTAATACTATATATTTTCTAATTTTTTTGAGGATTTTCTTCAAATCTATACAGTAATATTATTTTTGGTATGCATCTATACATTAATATTTAATACACAAGAATGATGTTTAACTATTGTATATATTGGTCAAAAAGATAGCATAGGAGGAGTTTGGCAAAAAAAGGAGGAGTTTGGAATTTGAGAATATATAATAATTTTTGTGTTTCCTGAAATTTTATAAATATTTATTTAGTATATGGTTTTTTATTAGTTATCACACATTAAAAGTAAAATATCCTGTATTTTATTCACAAAATTTTATTGGTAATTAAGTTTCAATAATTAAATTTTAAATACTGCAATATATCTTATTTTGAAAAAACTTTCATACTATATTAAACATGATATAGTAATTAAGTTTCTTAACCTCTTATAAAAAACCATTTTCGTTTTAATAACAAAATCTGTTAGATGACAAAAAAAAAAGAAAACAAAATCTGTTAGAAGACATCTTAACCATCAACATTCCACATATTTACTTGACCCAACCACATCTTACCCGGGTCGCGGATCTTAGATCCGGATCCGTTACGGATCCCTAAACCAAAAAAATCGAAAAACCCCCAATCGACAAAACCTCTTCTCTCTCTTTTCCCTCGACCCTTCATCTTCTTCTCTCTGTACGTTTCGATTCTCTCTTCGTGTTCTTCTTCCGCCGTCGCCGTCGCCGTCGCCTCAGCCACCGCATCTGTCTTCTCTTCTTCCTGAAATCGACGGTTGAGATCTCTACTTTTGGTCAGCTATAAAATCTTCTGTTAGCTAAACAAGAAGAAATGGAAGGAAACCGCGATTTCAGTGATTCAGTTGACAAATGTAAGCTCCCAAATTTCTTCAGTTTCTTGGTTATATTTCTTCTAAGAGCTGCTCCCGTTTCTTTTGAGGTTTCGTTAGGTTTCGTTCAAATTTTCATGGTCTGTTTGCCCAGGTTTCATTATGTACGACCCTCTTTTGAAGATTGAAAAGCTTTTGTTTCTCTTGGACAATGGTGTAAAACGAACCGGAATTCTAAATGAAGCTTGCCGTTTGATCAAGCTTGGAGACAATGCGACTCTTCTCAGAATGGTCAGAACGAATTACCAATTGGATGATGATGATGATGATGATGATGATGATGATGATATGTGGCTCAGACGAGCAAATGCTCGTTTTTCTCGGAGAAAGATAAATCTTGAGTCAGGATTGGATGTTACTTCTTGGGTAACTTCTTTATCAGAAAACATGATTTTGGATAAATATATTGTTAGTCTTTTTTGTCGAATTTATAGATCTCTGTGTCTTTGTCTTTAGGGAAAACCAATACGACGGGAAGAAAGGAGAAAACTTTTCAGCATGCTTGGAGAACTCCACTATGATTACGGGGATCTCAATGAAGCTTTTAGGATTTTTCATGAAGAACTTGAATCCTGCACTATGGAGACACAGGTTATTGAGTCACATTTGAAGTTGATTCTAGTTAGCCTTAAAAGGGGCAAACTAGAAGACGTACTTCAGTGGGTTGATAAAGTTAGGGAGCGAGGCGGTGGTTCTATGGAAAGCATCGTCGCTGCAAAAGTGACATGTGCCTGTGCATTAGGGAATATGGGACTACAGAGATACAAAACTGCAGCCCGTGAGGTAAGTATTTTTCTTTCATTTAAGTGCACATTTCATTTAGATTTGCCTAATGTGAACTTAAAACCATTTGAATTTTTCATGTGCAGTTCTTGGATGTAAGCTGTGGACTTGGGGATACATTCAACGAAGTCATTCTCCCTCGCGATGTTGCCATTTACGGAGGTCTTTGTGCGCTTGCAACATATGATCGATCCGAAATCAAGGCACGTACTGTTATTTTTCTTTTTAATAGCTTTTCTATCTGTTATTCCAACATGATTTATAACACTGTTATTGTACTGTTATTTGACAATGTGGCAGCAAGGAGTCTTAGCCAACAACCATGCTTGGAGAGTTTTAGGGTTCGCACCAGAAATAAGGAAGATTATCACGGAATTCCATAAAGGGTAACATTTATAACCTTTGCTAATACAAACTTTTGAGTTAATAATTAGCAACTCACTTGTAGAATCTTCATGTTTGTTACAGGCACTATACCTACTGTCTGAATTATCTTCAAAGTATCAAGCCAAATCTACTCTTGGACATTTACGCTTTCAAACATGTCGAGAGGTTGTTTGATCAGATCCGTGAGAAGGCCCTATTGGAGTATGCACAACCATTTGAATCTCTAAATTTGGACACCATGGCACGTGAATTCAACAGCAGTGTCTCAGGCTTAGAGAAGGAACTTGTCGTGTTGATCACAGACAACAAGCTACAGGTCCCTTTCCTTTCCGTTGCATCTACTTGTCGTTTCGAAGCCTTGAAATTAAAAACCATCTCTCTTTTTTATCCTGCACAGGCACTGGTTGATTCGGACAAGAAAGTCCTTTATAGAGGATCTTTCCAGTGAGTACTTGGGATGGGAAACGAATCCTATAATGATGTTAAGACTCTGATAGGTTATGGACATGAAGGAGAAGAAAGAAGCTGATGTGGTTAACGGAGAGAGAGGCTTCAATTAACGGAATCGTCGCGAGATTTTGCTTTGTGTCTTGGAAAATACGTTGAGTTGTTAGATTTTTCTCGTTACATATCAATTTAAGAAAGATTAGAAACCGGTTCATTCGGGACCAACTTGGTATTGGTTCGGTTTGGTTTTAAACAATTTGATTCGGTTCAGATTTGATTTTGTTTTTGTTTGTGCAATTACAAAATTAGAAAGCTAAGATGGAAACAACAGGCCATAAAAATACTCTAGAATTAATTTATTAATATTCCTGAAACACTAAAAAGGAAAAATACAAAAAAAAATTGTAGATAAATACAACATCACCAAATCAAATCAAATCGGAAATCCACCTGAAACTTTGGGCGGCTTGGCTTTTAGTCCGTCACAAGCTTAATCTTCGTATTCTTCGTCTGATCATTATGGCTTCTTCAGGTCTTGTTATTTTTAATCTGGGTTTGGATCTCCGACTTACTCATCATAAATCGTTTGGTTTTTGTTGTTAATCATGTGCTTTTCGAATTTTGTAATCGCGTGCGTAGATACTGATATGGAGAACTGTGTATACGAGGACCTCGATGGGGACATGAATGACGAAGAAATTGGCATAGCGAACAAGTATTGGGATGCAGAAGGTTCTCTTGCGTTCCATTGTGTTTGCATTCTCTCAACACCTGGTGCGATTCGGATCTTGATACATAGATTTCTTTCTTAAAGGCAAAATGGAGACTGAACCTGAAACTGCACTTTCTGGGTTTGCTGATGTTGTTAAGATGAGCCGAAACCATGATAACTGGTAAGATCGATCTCCTGCGATCCCGATTAATTTATTGTTGTAGCTCTAGGGAACAGAATGCTCTTCTTTCTGATTTTCTTACACAAGTAGACTCATTCCATGTCAAATTGAAACTTATTTTTCTCTAGTTATATGATCATCTCCTGCTAGATTCCCCTGGTTTATGTCAAGTTAATTTTGTCCTTTAGGCTCTTTTGTTTTCCACACAAAATATATATATATGTATCTGTATTATATCTTTCTGAGATGCATTGCCTTCGTTATTCTTCTAACCATCATTCGTGTGAATAATCTGTTTGAAGTTTTGTTCATCTAGTTAAACCATTGCATGCCCTATTTCTCGTCAGGTGTCTCATAGCTCTTGAGCGGACTGTGCAGATTTATTGTAGTCGGGGTGAACACGAAAAAATTAAGGATGTGCATAGAGAGATGCTTAAGTTTACCAAGTCTCCCTACTTTTATTCTTCCATAACCAGTATTACAGACTTCGTCTCTAGCTCTTTTAGCGACAACTTTGACCTGCTGGAAGAGTTTTATCAGACCACCTTGCAAACCCTCGAAGAGAGTAAGGGAAGCTCTCAGGTATGGAAACTAGCTATTTTCCTTTTATATATATGCCTACCATTTCTTCTCAGTGGTTTGGATTTGTGACATGTTGGTTTCTTCTGCAGGCACTCTGGTTCAAAACGAATCTGAAACTCTGCAACACCTTGTTTGACCTTCGTAAATACCCACAAATTAGTAAGGTATAACTTGGATTATTCAAATCTTATGATTGAAGCTCCTGTTACTAATTAAGGATCTTGGTATGTACAATAACAAGTTTTTTACTGTTAGCCAGATCCTCAAGGAACTCCATAGATATTGTCAGAATGAAGATGGCACATATGCTAAGAACAAAGGAAGTCAGGTGTTTGAGGTTTTTGCAAATGAATTTCTGCTCTACATTGAAACAAATGATAACAAAGATCTTAAGGTTAAATAAGATCATCTGCTTTATGTTTTTTACCTCCCAAGTATTTTTGAGATTCTGCAATTTTATCGCTGCATACTTCTTTTGGCTTTTATGACTAAAACACAACCAAACACTTTTGAATAGATGCAACAACTGTACCAGAAGGCATTTTCCGGCAAATTCGATACAAGTGATCATACGGTCATTGGTATAGTACGCGAATGTGGTGGAAAAATGCACTTGGCAGAACGTCAGTGGGAAGAAGCTGCCATTGACTTCCGTGCGGCTTTTGCAAACTATAATTTAGCTCGTAACCAGAGACGTATAAAGTGCCTAAAGTAAGTATCTTGCTTTTTGTATTGTGATTTGTCCAAACATCTTAGGAGTTATTTGCTCTCTTTCTGTTTGGCTTTGCAAAGGTATGGTCTTCTGGCGAATATGATGGGGTCGAAAGTGAATCCATTTGACCGGGAGACTGCAAGGCGGTACGTCATTTCCCTAATATTTGTATTGTAAACTCATTTTGGTTCTATGCTTCTAATAAATAAACTGCAGGTACGAAAACAACCCTGAGATCTTGGCAATGAAAGCTTTGATAGAAGCTTATGAAAAAAATGATTTTGCAGAGTTTCAGAGAATATTAAAGGTGAAGTATGGGTTTTGTTTTCTCACGTATATCTAAAAACAACACTGATAAAATGGTTTTGATATGTAGTCCATGGATGATCCATTTATCAAAACCTACTACATGGAAGATCTAGATATGTTAAAGAAGGTGAGAACACAAGTGTTACTGAACCTGATAAAGCCATATGCAAATATAGGGATTCAGTTCATATCAACGAAACTAGGCATGTCAGAGACAGAAGTTACGGAGTTGCTGAGGTCGCTGATACTCGACAGTCAAATCGATGGGTCTATTGATGGAGTGAACGGTTACTTGCTGTTGACCAAATTATAGAAACGGTTACTTGCTTAAATGGAGCAGCCAACAAACTCAGTTCTCTTTTGCTTGGTATCACCAACGGCGGAATTTAGTAGCCTAGGCATCCGGTTAATTCGGTTCTTCTCTTATAGTTTTTCGGTTTGTACCAAATCCCGCCGAATTGAACAGAGTAAATATACGGTTCGATTGGTTACAGTAAATTTTGGGTAAAGAAAAAGCTGCCGAAATCACGCAATCTCGGTTCGGTTATTCGTAATCTTGGTTTATACGGTTCATTTATAATTTCGTTTATTGTTTTCCTTTTAAAATTTGACATCATCTTATTGGGTTGCTGAAAGAAAAGAAAACATGTAATTGGGTTTCCTTTCATGGGCTGAACGAAGCCCAAATCGTTGACATCATAACGAAAAGAATACAAAACCCAAATCTAAATAAATTTGACAAACCCAAATACAATTAGGAGAAAGAAAGAAAATCAAAACGAGCAAGGGAGATTTGCATAAAGACAACCAGGAGATAATATACAAAGGTGACATTGATATACTCTGATTGGTGTTTCTTTGGTCACCATCTTCTTCTTTATGGTTTCTGAACCATATTCTTGGTCTCTTCACCTTTGCTGAATCTTCTTGGTCCGTCTTGGTTGTCTTGATTGAAGTGGCTCCAGGAGGAACCATATGGAGCTCTGATAACATGTTGCACTTTACAAGTTTGTTTTCTTCTCGTTTTGCATTTCTCTGTTTCAAGTGTAAGCTAGGATGAGTGTTTGAGAAAGAGCCTTAGAAATTTTGGGGAGAATTGAGATATGAAACTAGTACATTTTCTCATACACTTTTACACAAAACACTTAAACTTGTATACAGAGAAAGAGAGAATTAGTTGTTGTGGTATGTTGATGTAAAGCCTCTTATTGCTTCTGATTCTTCGATTTTATTTGTGCTACTACCAGCTTCAGGGCTAAAATAAGGGGAAGCATAACTGAAGAATCAACAGAGGCACGAGCATGATGGACCACTTATTGATGAGTTTGAAGTTGTGAAAAAGCGTGATGCATAAAAAAGAACCGTTTCCAGCTAGCAACATTATCGCCTTGCCCTGTCATAGATGAATGATATTATGAAGCAAGTGAGCTATAATTTGGTTATATGGATAGTAAAAAATCAATTCTAAGGATTGTTTGAATAGAAGTATTTCTCTATTTCATATATATTTACCCTTAATGTGCTTTCTAATTTATTATTTAAATCAAATGACATTTTGTTTAATAACTTACAATACTAAAAGTTTAGTTTTTAAATGTACCTAAAAAATATTAATATAGATTCCAAATCTACAAAGATATATATATATATATATATATATATATATATATATATATATATACAATTAATTTTATTTTTTAAAAGGTATATAAATAAATCATTGGTTCTTTAAATTAATTAAAGAAAATATGTAATAAATTACTAATCTTAAAAGGATAAGGAAAATACGAAATAGGTAAAATAGAAGGATAATATATATGAATACAGAAATCAACTTATACTAGGATATTGACCCGCGGTATACTGCGGGTTAATTATCTGTTTTTTTTTTGTTTTTTATAAACTGATGAATTTGTTGTATATAATATTTTTTGTTGTACACTGCGAGTCACATGCGTTGTAACTAAAAATGAAAATTTTAAGTTGTATTTGTTTTGTTTAGTGCTTAAAATTGTATAATTGTATTTTGATTTGTTAATCCCAGGATTTACCCGTGATATATTATCCCGTATTAATATCAATCCAAACCCGACCCGTCCCACCATATAATCTTGTCCCGTAAAATTAAACATCATTTTGTTATTTCTTTTAATAACACTTTTATTTAAAAGACATATAATTCGAGTCAATTTAAAAGTTTGCTTTCAAATAGTTTCTATAATATATATATATATATATATATATATATATATATATATATATATATATATATATATATATTTTCACATTAGTGTGTGTTTTTGGACCAACCCGTAAAAATATTTTTAAAATCTATATTAAAATACTAAATAATTTTGTTTCGATTTGTTAATTTTAAGTTTTCACCCGTAGTATATTGTCCCGTTTTAGATAATTGCAGAAATTAAGTAAATATCTGAATGACTCAATTCTGGGTCAGAGTAAAAAAAAAATACGACCTGATTAAACGCGCAAATTTGTTCTTCAAAAATGTTAATATAGATTGTACACATACTTTTTTCTTCATCGATTGAGTAATATATGTCCGTTTTAAAAAGTTTGAATCATAGCATATGTAGAAAAAAATCGAATTTTTTTATTAAGTATATATATTTTATAATAGTTCAAAATAATATAAATATAAGATCATATAAAAGTGAAATGAGAATCATATATGGATGTTATAATTAGGTAGAGAGGTTTTAGAAAATTAGTTCAAATTTGTTATATTAGCATTAAATAATCATATTTGATTTCTATATCTATAAAAATTGTAGAGAATATGCTATAAATAAAGAGTTTAGGTATAGTAATTAGTTGAGAAAATATATATTTTTTAGATTTTATTGATTAATTTTGTTTTTAATTTTGTCAAAAATAAGGAAAGATCTTATTGAAGATTTCCGGGTCAAAATTAAATAAAATTTGACCCGATTAGGAATCCCAAAAAGTGTTGCAAAAATGTATCTATATATACATTTTTGGATGACTTTTAGCAAATAAATCCTGGAGTTGGAATGTATTTACGGATGAATGCCATTGGCATTAATTATTTAAATTTGAAAAATATTAATTAAAGATATTACCAACACGATTTCGAGAATCATAAATTCATATCTTCCTTAATTTTCTGAGTCATTAATGTGATAATCTTTAGGAAATATTTCTCTGTAAAAAAAAAAATCCACATTAATGAAGGCATTAAAATCGACACTAACAATTAAATTATTTAGATATTCAATTATTTTAAGATTCTTATATCTTATTTGATATTTTTTTTTATATCTCATTCTTTAATTACTGCGTTTAGAATTTATTGGTTGTTACCTATTTTTTGGTGAAATTTATTGGTTGTTACTTAATAAGTAATTATGGTGCGTTTATTTTAGTTAATATCTAATTTAAAGGATTTGTTTTCTTTTATTATTAATAAACGAATAACATGTATAGAAATAAAAGATTTTTCTTGCGACTCCATAATAAAAATATTAAACTCTTATTTTCTACATTTCTTACACATAATATCCTCTTATTCAATAACAAAAAATATATATTGCAATTTTTAAAAATATTTATAATATTTAAATTATATAAAAAGTTTGTAATATTAATATTATTTCAACTCTATACAAATTTAATTTATATGTATATATATCTTATGGGAACCATTTAAAAGAAATTTTTAAATTGACTTGAATTATATAGCTTTTAAATAAAAGTATTATTAAAAAGAAAAATAACTAAATGATGTTTAATTTCACAGGACGGGTAATATGATGGGACGGGTTTGGGTTGATATTTATAAAAGATAGTATACCACGGGTGAAATCCTAAAATTAACAATCAAAATAATCTATCAAACAAATTACATTTTGATTTTTTTAAGAAAATATAGCCCCGCGGTGTACCGCGGGTTAAAATCTAGTAGTAGATTAATACCAGTAATTAATGAATTAAAAAAAAAGTTAAATATGATTTTAAAAGTATATCTTCTCCAAATAGAAATACAAAAATCAAATCGTTAAAGTTTTAAGTCGATCAGATATTTAGAAGATAAATATAAAATTTTGGAAAATATATAATAAAATAAGACAAGTCAAATTTAGGTGGCATGAAAAAAGGAATCTCGGAATATATATATTAATTTTAGAAAAGGAAATTAAAATATTATTTACCAAAAAGATCTTTTTAGTAGTTATCCGAAAACTATTAAATACTTGCCTTAAAAATAGGGTTATTTTGAAAACCACCCTGTTTTTAAGTTATACTTTGAAAAATACATTTTTTTATTTTTGATGAAAACTACAATCTTTTTATATATAAAATGACAATTTGGTATTAATTTAAATTTAAAGCTATATTTTTAATAAATAAACTAAATTCGAAATTTAGGGAAAGAAAAAAAAAACTAAATTCAAGATAATTTTAATTAAAGTTATATATATGTTTTAACACTAATATGTTTTATCAATTTTATATATTAAAATTTAACAAGATAATATCTAAAAATATTATAAAATCTATCACTTAATATTTGTCATGTTATATAAAGTAAAATAATCTCCAAGACTCCAACACTCCAAACACATTTTCAACTCAACATTTCACAAAACTTTGCTTCAATTCAATGATTCTCTTTAAAAAAATTTGTTATTCTTTATTGTTAAAAAAAATAATACATGACTTAACAAAAATCATGACTTAATATCAGTAGAATGTTGTTATGCATTATTTTTTAAGAAATAGTTATGATAGTAAATTTCTGAATTGTTAGTTATACAAAACTTTGTAAAAATTAAATATTTAATTCTTATCAATAAATTTATTTTCTAGTTAAAATATAGATATTTTGATTAATTTTTATTAAGTTTAAGTAAATTTTAGTAATTTTACATATTTAATTTAGTTTTTAAACGAAAATTAAAAAAAGGTAATTTTCAAAAGTGTAAGCAAAAAGAGGGTATTTTTCCAAATTTACTCTTAAAAATATGTCTCATATATTATAATAGCGTTAACTTATTTCTTATTGGAATGTACGTACTTACATGCATAATATAATAGCTTTAACTTATTTTTTCATATAAGAGCTTTAATTTATTACAGTTTAATTAGTTAAAACCCTAACTGATGATGAGAGAAACAAGGATGATGTCCGATCTGCCACAGGATTTGATAGAAGAGATACTATATAGGGTTCCGGTGGCATCTCTGAGAAGATTACGAGCTACTTGCAAACGATGGTACCATCAAGCTTTATTCAAAGATCCGAGATTCATCAAACAATACTATGATAAAACAGCAAGACAGTATCATGCTCTCATGCTGGTTGAATTTAGAGTATGTCCAATGAGCACCGTTCTCGATAGACTTAGGAGAAACATAATCGTGTCTTTAGATGGGCATCGCCTAATATCTCCCCATTGCAATGAAGCAGTCGATTTATCTAAAGCCTTTCACTGCGATGGCATATTGGTATGCCCTTTTAAGAAGAACATGATTGTGGTTTGGAATCCGTTTTCTGGGCAAACCAGATGGATACAACTGCAAAATAAACACTACATCGGAGCCTATGCTCTCGGATACGACAAGAATAAATTGTGTCGTAGCTACAAAATCTTGAGGTTTGAGTGTATATACGAAAAGTTGGCTCCGGACAGCGTGGAAATTTATGAGTTTACCTCTAATTCATGGAGGAATCTTGATGCGATCATTCCCGATCAGGCCTACTTAAAAAGTGATGGCCATGCGTGTGCGTCTTTAAGTGGAAATACTTATTGGGTGTCGTGGATTAAAAAAGGAGACAACGACGACTACTCACTACTCAGTTTTGATTTTTCAACAGAAAGGTTTCAACGTTTGTGTGCTCCCTTTCATCATCAACCATGCCGTGTTGATACTATGGCTCTCTCGGTTGTTAGAGAAGAACATCTTTCCTTGTTTTATCAGAGTAGACAGACACTAAAAGTGGAAATATGGATGACCGATGAGATTCATACAACATTTGTGTCGTGGAGCAAGTTCTTAACATTAGATTTAGTTTCTCCTTCTTTTTCGAATTCCATGAGCTTCTATATTGTTGACGAGGAGAAGAAAGTTGTTGTGTGTTGTGTGGAAGACGGATTTTTCGACTCCAAATTGGTATGGATTGTTAGAGAAGGAGAAGAATATATACCAGACTTGCCAGTTTATTATGGCAGACAATCAGTAGGTTTTAGATCTATTTGTCATATGCCAAAATTGTTTGGTTATGTTCCAAAAAATTAGCATTGTGGGTTTCTTTTGCTTGCTTTGTCAAGTCCTTGGATTGGATGAATGAAACGATATCAGTTTTTTTTTTTTTTAATATCTTTAGTACTAGTGGCTTTATATAAGGATATATACTTTCTTAGAGTTTTGGAATAATTATATGCTCTTTTCATTTAAAACAAAGGCCCCGAATGTTTCTTTGCATTTGCCTAACTTTGAATTCTTATGACATGGAAACATAAACGAAAACGTTGATTCAGCGCCAGAGATGGCTTATACAAACAACACGGGTTTATCCGACCCAAAAAAAAAAAAACAACACGGGTTTACTTACGTCCCTGGTTCAGATTGCCCAGTTTCGATCGTCTAACTAGTGAAACGGTTTGAAAAAGGAATTCATAACAAAAAGAAAAACCTTATGAAATGAATCTGAATATCTTTTTTATTTTTATTCATTTGTGTTTTAACTTTTAAGTAAGTCGCATATATATTCCATACTATTATTTTGGAAGTACATTAAGGAAACTAACATCATATTTTTATAAAATATTACGTAGAAATGCTATTGAAAAAAAAAAAATTAAAGACCAAATTAAATTAGTTCATTAAAGATAAACAACACTTTCTAATATTATATATATAGACTGACAAAAAAAAAATTCAGTTACTAGCTACTATAATATATCAACACTTTCTTCTAAAATCTATACTAGTATAATTGCAGCACTTTTTGTGACGGGTGAGTAAAAAAGCTTTCGGGTATATCGAATATCCGACCCATTTTAAAAATTCCTTCACAAAAAATTTGTTGGGTCGGTTATATTTAACTCAACTCATACACCGGATATTCCATATTTAATAATTTAGATTTTTAGAAGATTTGATTAAGATTTATAATTATGATTCTCCTATCATCTTTGTTTGATTTGTTTTTAACTGTTTTGAATCATCATATAATACATAAAGTAAAAAAAAAATCAATTTTTTTTCTGCATATACTGTGATTCGAAATTTTAAAAACGGACATATATTATCCAATTGACGAAAATATGTGTTCAACGTTCTACATCGATTAAAATATTTAGACAATGATTCAGAATCATATCATAAATAAGAACATTAATAAAATAAATGAGTTTTTTGGCGGGATGGGTTTGGCGGGACGGGTTTTTGAATCAACAATAATAAAAAGATTAAAATATCATTAATCCACCGCTTCAATACGGATTTAATCCTTATTTTTTTTTAATACAAATCACAGGACGGGTTAAGAAATTACGGAACGGGTTATATTTCGGAAATGATTTATATGGCGGACGAATTTGAATCAATATTTATATACCGCTTTAATACGGGTTAAATCCTCAGTTTATTAATAATTATCTTGTGGACTCGTGGTATACCGTTTCTTAATAACAATTGTAAACTATAATATAAATAAATATGTTATAAGGAGATACAATTTACAAAATATTTTTATACTAACTTTAAAATTAAATCATCCCGCGGTGTACCGCGGGTTAAAATCTAGTATATAATATATAAAATTTTGTAGTAACTAAAATTTAACCCGTGTTATATAGCATGGATTATGATCTAGTATGAGATATAAATTGTCACATGGCACCGGTTAATTTGTTTTCACTAGTCTTTTTACATGTATGTTTCGTAATTAAGTTAGATCATTCGGTTGTATGGTCCTTTAATTTTTTTGATACTGGTAAAGATTGTTCAAGCCTTTGAGTTTACCCAGAGCCGTAGCAACGATTATGAGGGCCGCCCGCAACAAAAAAAAAGGATCGCTCTAGAAAAGTGTATACTTATAAAAAAATTTAACTATAAAAAAAAACAAAAAACAAAAAAAAACCTTCTCTCACGCTTCGTGTGATTTGAACTCATGACCTAAGATATGTGGTGTATGACATAATACCACTAGGCTACCAAAACACATTGGTATTTGAGGGCCTAAAATATTAATAACTTCTCGGAGGGCCGCAGTTCCTGCTTCTCTTGCTTCTATCCAGCTACTGCTCTGAGTTTACCCCAACTTCATTTTTTTTTTTTTGCTAAAAATTTGTTTGGCGTCCATCAAACATATTAGTAGGCAGGGGTGTTTATATTTTTTAAAATGAAACGTGTTACTAAGGCTTAGCACCCGAAAACCAGATTTCGACCTAAGTACTCGAATGCCCATGCTTACAAAATAAGTTTCTTTCACCAACCAACATTTATACCGGAACACAAAAAAAATAAAAAAGAGAGAAAAAAGGCCAAAAAATGCAAACACATATTTAAATATATAGGAAACAAGTGGTTTTACAAAATAAGTTTTTTTCACCAACCAACATTTATTTTTGCCCAAAACTCCACAGCTCATTTATTGTGCTGTTCCTTTAAAGAATTAATCACAGTGTGTGATCGTACGCATTAAAGACAAGTGTGGGTACTAAGAACTGTGTCAAATGAAAAATTCACTAAGAAAAAAAAGTGTTAACACCACACCAATAATAAAAGGAAAAGAAGGAAGCTCTAGGCACGCACGGTTCCCCATTCACCTTCTTTCATCTTCTTTTAGATCTAGAGATTTGTTTCTTTCTAGTTTGTTTGTAAGATCTTTCTAGTTTCTAGTTTTTTCGTAAGATCTTTCGAGTCCTTAAACAGCTTCTCAAGATAAATCCTCATCGTCTCAGCCTAGTTCAAACGCCGGAATCCACTACAATGAATCTACTGGCTTTCGTCATCGGTGATAAAGGGTAATTTATCCCCTCTTTCTATTATTTTTTCTTTGACATTGTAGTTTTTTCATACATTTCGTCTTATTTGAATTGTTTGTTTGATTTGGTTAGGGTTGGTAAATCATCATTGGTAACGAAGTTTGCCGATGATAATAGCCCAAGGGCTACGTATGACAGGATTTCTTTGGAGCATAAGATAGAAATTGACATTGATGGTCGAAAATGGATGTTGAAGGTAACGAAGTTGTATATGTTTTTGACTCTCAAATTTCTTTCAAGCTTTGATGACTTTTTATGTTATTTTGTTTTTGGAATGTGTTTTTTTTTTACTATTATGCTTGTTTCACCAAATATGTATTAAAATAAGAATAAAATAGTTTCTTTTCATGTAGATAATAAGAGGTAACAAGACTTGGAACTGTAATAATAAATATTATTATCAAGTGGCTTGTTGTGTTCTCGTCTATGATGTCTACAACAGGACATCGTTTGACAATCTCACAAAGCATATTGACGACTTCGTTGCCTTGGTATGAAGCCTCTCATACCATAACATTCTATAATTTTTTAATATTGGTTATCAAAGTGATCTTTTTACTATATATATATATATATTTGCCATTCTTAGGCTCATCCAAAAGCGTATAAATTTAAGTTTGTTGTCTTGGGGAACAAGATTGACATGAGACGTGAACGAGCAGTAAGTTGTCTATCTTCTTTCTTTTGAAATAACTAGATTAATTTAAAGTTTGCCTAACGTAAAGTTTTTGTTCATATAAGGTTCATAAAGAAGAAGCATTGCAATGGTGTTATCATAACAGAGATGCTCTTTACTTCGAAACATCTGCCATAGAAGGAGATAACGTGGCCGCCGCCTTTGATCAAATAGCAAGGTGTGCCACCGATTACATCCCTCATTTAGTAGGCGGACAACTCTACAATTTGCAGGACATTGTTGATCAACATAACGGTAAGTTAATTTAGTTGTGATTGCTTTTGTTGAGTGGTTAACAAGTGTTTTGGCTAGTATTACATTCATTTTTGTTGGTGATTTTTACAGATTTGATTGGATTGTTCTATGAATCCCGAGGACGATGGTTAGAGGCATCTGATGTTTATTTGATTGAAGATCACATAAATATTTTATTACAATATCTGACAGAACTCCCTTACTCACCGACGCCGGGGCTTTTCCTTACGAGGACAGGTTACACTGACGTTTCTAGAACCGTGTGGATGGACTCAGTGTTTACTCAATTGCATGTAAGTTGTTGTATAGTATCAAATTTCTTATATATTAGTTATTTGTTATTAATGTTTTATATCTTCTTGAAAGCAGCCTGTAGATTCTGATGATGAAAGAGCTCCTGTGAAAATAAGCTATGCATGTTGTCGCATGGATGGAAAGACGATGTGTCGGTACATATACTTTCTCCCACTACTTAAAGACCTGTAAGTTTTTTATCACAACTTATGGTAAATATATATATCATGTGGTTTTAGACTTTTAGTGATAATATATTCACCTATTTATATAATTGTTGTGATAGGTGTCTCGTCCACTACATGTTCCGTCAAGTCGTCAATGACAATGACAATGACAATGAATGAAGAAAGAAGTGCATGGTGGAATCCTGCATGGTGATATTTGGGTTTGGAGAGAGAATTTAAGTTAATTGGTCAAGATATTTGAGGTTGTTCGGTTGATACTTTAATTTTATTTTAAAAAAAGATTGATGATTTGATGAGATATTATTATTATTATTATTAAAGTATTATTATGTGTGATATTTTGAAATCTGTTCGTTCTCAATTAAAGTATTATAGATTACCTCACAATGAAATCAAAAGAGTTACTTCACGACAAAAATAAACAAAACTTGTCAACATTTCAAGGACCAAAACATTTGTGAAATGGTCGATTGCCTAGAAAAAGAGCCTTATTTAAGCAGGGTGGTTCATTGATGGAGAATAACTATATAAAAAATTAAAAAATAACATGCGACTCAAATCATCCAAAATACTAATTAAGTCCCCGAATGTTTTTGACATAGTAACATAGAAATAATGAACGAAAAATCATCCAAAATACTAAGTCCACTACATCTTCTATGTTACTTTATATTATTTCTTCCTTGTTTGCCAACTAAACAAATTAACATTTTGAATTTTTAGGAGACCAAAATAATAAAGCTTTTTTCACCGCAGCAAAGTTGAGAGAAATAAGAAATAACATCAAGGAGATCCATTGTGAAGATGGTCGCGTCGTTGACACTCTGGAACACATTAAGCTTGAAGCCGAGAGGTACTTCAAAAATTTTCTCTCGTTAAAGCCTGCAGATTATGTTGAATGGACACAAGAGGAGTTGGAATCCATCTTGTCTTTTAAATGCGATGAGAATGATAAGAAGCTACTGGTAGATGAAGTTTCAAAGGAGGAAATTAAACGGGTTTTATTTGCAATGCCAGCAAACAAATCGCCGGGTCCGGATGGTTTTAATAGTGAGTTCTTTAAGGAGTCGTGGTTGACAGTGGGTGATGATTTTGTGGTAGCAATCCAATCTTTTTTCAAGACAGGTTTCTTACCTAAAGGAATCAACTCCACCATATTAGCCTTAATCCCAAAAAAGAAAGAGGCCAAGGTGATGAAGGACTATAGACCTATATCTTGTTGCAATGTTCTTTATAAGGTCATTTCAAAGATTCTTGCTAATCGGCTAAAGCTCATCCTCCCGAAATTCATCTCGCAAAATCAATCCGCCTTCGTCAAAGACAGGTTGCTTATGGAAAATCTCCTTCTCGCTACCGAAATTATCAAAGATTATCACAAAGACTATGTCTCTCCCCGGTGTGCAATGAAAATAGATATCTCGAAAGCGTTCGATTCGGTGCAGTGGAGTTTTCTACTTAACACTTTACGAGCTCATGATTTCCCGGAGAAATATATTCAATGGATACAGACATGTATCTCTACTGCGTCCTTCTCGGTGCAAGTCAATGGCGAGCTTGCAGGTTATTTTGGCAGTGAACGAGGACTCCGCCAAGGCTGTTCGCTAAGCCCTTATCTGTTCGTCATTTGTATGAATGTCCTGTCCCAAAAGTTAAACAAGGCAGCTAGTGATAAACAACTTGGTTTCCACCCGAATTGTAAGCATCTGAACCTCACGCATCTATGCTTTGCAAACGACTTGATGGTATTTGTTGATGGAGAAAAGAAGTCTATTCAAGGAGCTCTCAAAGTTTTTGATGATTTCGCTACTCACTCAGGTTTGAAAATCAGTCTCGAAAAATCAACAATATACATGGCAGGTGTTCCTTTAGAAAAAAGAGAGGAAATTCTGCAACAATTCCCCTTTGAGTATGGATCGCTACCGGTTAGATATCTGGGGCTGCCACTGCTAACAAGACGAATGACATCTGCGGACTATCTCCCGCTTATAGAAAAGATTCGCTCACACATAAGCTCTTGGACGGCCAGAACGCTTTCCTTCGCAGGGAGGCTACAGTTGCTCAGGTCAGTGATATTCAGCCTTACAAATTTCTGGATGGCAGCTTTTAGGCTACCAAAAGCTTGTATCCGAGAGATCGATAGGCTGTGTTCTGCGTTTTTGAGGTCTGAACCATCTTTGAACACTAAAAAAGCAAAAGTAGCATGGTCAGATGTTTGCGTCCCCAAGAGTGAGGGTGGTTTAGGTCTGCGATCGCTTGATGAAGCAAATAAAGTGTGTGTCTTAAAGTTGATTTGGAGAATTCTATCGGCTAAGGGTTCGTTGTGGGTGGATTGGGTTCACCGATATCTCATCCGTAGTGGCTCCTTCTGGTCAGAGAAACAAAGCTCCACATATGGTTCATGGATTTGGAAAAAGATCCTCAAATATCGGGAGACAGCAAAACACTTTCATCGGGTAGAGGTAAAAAGTGGTGATTCTACTTCTTCTTGGTTTGATCGGTGGAGTTCTTTGGGTCGTCTCCATGAAACACTAGGGGAGAGAGGTTGTGTGGACTTGGGAATTCCGATTCATAGTACAGTGGGAGAAGTGTTGAGCAGGACCAGAAGACGAAAGCATCGTCAACCTCTTCTAAATCTGGTTGAAGAGGAAGTGAGGAAACAAAGACAGAACCGAAAACAGGGAGAACACGATGTAGTGTTATGGAAAGGGAAGAATGACATCTATAAGAAAAAGTTCACAACAAAGGAGACGTGGTCGCAGATACGGAGTGCTAAACCATTGATGAATGGTTATAAGAAAATCTGGTTCTCAAAGGCAACCCCTAAGTATGCGTTTCAAACGTGGCTGGTAGTGAAAAATAGAATTGCAACAGGTGATAGAATGCTGCAATGGAATCAGAACGTCGACCCGAGCTGCATACACTGCAAACACCCCATAGAGACATGTGATCATTTATTTTTCGTATGCCCTTATTCTGCTGCAGTGTGGGAAAAACTAGTGAAAGGAATTCTAGTCGACAAATTCTCGCAAAACTGGAGGGATGTGATGACACTACTAGCCAATAGAGACTTGGACAAGGTGCAAAGGTTTCTTGTTGGTTATACTTTTCAGAACACGATACACTCTCTCTGGGGAGAGAGGAACAATAGAAGACACGGGGAACAACCTTCCACGACGGAGAAGCTAGTTAAATTGATCAACAAGAATCTTCGTAATCGGATGAGCACGATTACAAGAGGAGGAGATTTTTCACTCGCTAGTGGTATCCAAACATGGTTTGCAACAAGACAATGACAACGGATAGACTCTCACTAGTAGTTATAAAAGTTTTGCATTAACAATGTAGAAACGTTTATTTTTCTTTGAATATAATTTAACATTAAATTCAAAAAAAAAAAAAAAAAAAACATTTTGAATTTTTTTTCAATGCATCTTTTCTTACAGAGACAGACAAAGGAAACCAAAAACATTTCGATATAATTCCATCAGCGAGTTTTTCATTTTCCAAAGAAAACCTATATTGAAAGGGCTCATATTACTTTCTTTTACCAAGAACTACAATAATAAAGGTTACAACACTTACGGTTGTGTGTAGGTAGGTGGATTCTTGTTCTATTATACAATCACAACTAACGTAAATCCTACAAGTCTCATCAATGTTGGAATCTGAAACTCTTGTCAGGAAAAAAATTATTTCAAGGGATTTTTTTCCTAAATTTTTAAAAAAGTTGGAACATCTCCGAAGCCCCGCAGGATTAAGTTTGAGAACATCGGTTCCTTTGATGAGCAATTCAGCCTTCTCTTCCATGAATTTTTCAAGATTCTCTAAATATCGATTTCACGTCACGATCACCATGACAAGCCAATGAAATTAAGGGTTCGACTCCTCAGAACAGAAGACAGAATTACACGGAGTTAGTAGTACCCCTTTTATGTGTCTTGATTGGTTTTGTAACATTTGCAATGGCTCGCTTTTAGAAACGTCTTTGAATTTTGATGTATAAACTAAAAAAGGAACCATAAGATATCTGAACATTGATATATAAAAGATGGACCATAAGAGTCTGTACACTTTTTAGTAGAATTAAACAATTAACATACACTTTTCTTAGTTGGTAGTCTTCCGAATTTCGAATAAACCCAAACTAATTATAATCAAATAATTCTCTTAACAACCGTAATTTAGTGCTACGCATCCACAAATCTCAGACGCGCAAACAACCACAATTTCTCTCTTCTAAAACTCTTATCTTTTAAGTACTCACAAAGTTATTTTTTGTTGATGTTCATCGTGGTTATTCTTTCGTGAGATTTTCTGTATAATTTATTTATTGACATTGTATCATTCATTTAATTACTCAAAAACCTATATCCCCGATAAAACAAAATGATCGAGAACGGGTTTCGTAATTAATCAAAACGAAAAGTAAATTTATATAAGAAGAAAACAAAGAAAGTGTAGTGACGATGGATTAATTTGAAAAATAGGAGTGGGTGGGTTGCTTTGTGCTTTAAACAAAGAACAAAAGGCAAAAAAATGCTTTTGATATTTTTACTTTTTTCTTTTTATTTAACTATTTTTAATCTGAAGATAGAAGACATTTGATTCAAAAAGGAATGCTCAAAAAACTACAAAAGATTTGACAAGATTGAATTCAAATACATAATTGATAGAGATCAATGCTGCTTTACTTTAGCTTCGTCTTGGTGTATATTCCCGTATTCTTTATGTGTTTTTCTTAGACTACCTTTTACTTTTGTGCTTATGTTTTTCGTTTGTAAAATATGGAAAATACAAGTTAACATAAAAAAACAAAAATTGAAAAAATATATGTAGATTATAATGATAAATCGGAATACCTAAACAAAATTTGTGATTAATGAAAATCTACGGCATCACCTTATAGTTTATCACTTCGATAATCATTTCTCAGAACAAAATGTATCCTATGCGTTTATTTTAGTAAGCTGATATACATCTTTAGTAATATGGAATCTTTATGAATGGTAAAAAGAGCAAATAAAATCAACTAACACATGCACAAAAATAAATAAATCATAAAACATCTTATGATTGCGTCATAAATTAACGCGGTGCAAAATCATTGGTTGATAACATATTGGTGCACAAGAACATGCGTCACACTGAATCATCTGATTGCGTTTTAAACTAACGTGCTGCAACATCATTGGTTAAAAACATATAGGTGCAGGTACACAGAGACATGCGTCACACTGGATCATTTTGGGGTTTTAATTCTCCACGAAGAAATGTTAAAGTGGGGTCTCTTCTATTGCCGGGAAAAACAAATGAGAGAAGAAGA